AAAAATAAAAAGAATTTTGAACATAGGAAAAATGGAAGTTTTTAGACTAAAAACTTTTTTGAAATAAATCCAAGCTTTAAAATTAAGATCTCATTACTGTATAGCGTAATTTCATGCAGCAATCGGGGAACATTTTATTTATTGACTGAAAGTGTTAATAAAGGCATATTAAGTTCTAAAGCATATATTCAAAAACGACAATTCAAATTGAGTCAACAAAACGACCCAATTAAGGGTATGTTTGACACAACTAGCTGAAAAGATACTTTTGTGAGCTTTTTAGTAACTGTTAGCTTTTAATGACTAAAAAGATCTTATAAGGAAAATGTGGTAGTTGTTTGATAAAAAGCAGACTGTTTGATTTAATCATGTTTGGTATACAAGCTATTAGGACGAATTGATACTAAAAGTCACGGGCTTTTCTCATATGCTACTTCATGTAGCATCTAAAAAAAATCTTTTAATTTTTGAAAAGCTCTTAAAAGTTGTCATGCCAAACATACAACTAGAAACTTTTAAAGACTTTTTAAACAGTACAAAAGCTAGAAGGCAGAAACTTATGTATGCCAAACATGCTTTAAGGCTGTCTTAAAAATCAGAAAGCATAAAGGACACAAGCAAGTGAGGAAAAAGTAGAAGCTACAACTTTGCGACCCCGAATTTACCCAAAAAAACTTTGGTTTTAAAATGACTTTTCTTTTAGTTTTAATATTGAAAAGTCACTTATTTAGTCAATTATAACATTGATTTATAATGAATATCCAAATTTATTGAGTATGTCTATTTTTTCACTAATTATCTAAACATGTTAGCATCCCAAACAAAAAAAAGAAAATGTTCAATGCCTATTTTTGTTCATTAAATTTCATTTGTGACTTAATGTTTTTTTCAAAACTAACTACATATTTTTGTAATTTGTTTATCTAAAAATAGATGTAGTCAATTTTATTGAAGATATTAGGCCTTCTCGGTTTTAGACTTTTACCAATTAGTCCCTCAACCTCTTTCTTTACAAAAGATTTCAAAATATATACTTTTGTGACATCCCAATGAAAATATCCTTGATTAGAAAGGTGAACATAAATTTGAAATAGCATCTAGACTCAATATTTTCAGTCTATATACCTTCAACTTTTTTATTTGTACTCTGTTTGCCCAAATAAACCTGTATTATTTTTGACATTTTGTATTTCACTTTTTCATATTGTTTTCGTTTTTGACGTGTGTAAATTTATTTTCGCTATCAATAATACTTGGTAAATGACAACATAGGTCTTAGATTGATAATTTTCAATCATCTAGGTCCTAAATTGACAATTTTTCATCATCCGGGAAATAACAATTTAAATTTAATGAACAAAAAGAAATTTAACATTGAACAAAAATATTGATAAAACTAAAATTAGCCATTTTTTAATTTAATGAACAAAAAGAAATTTAACATTGAATAAAAATATTGACAAAATTTAATGAACAAAAATAGGCATTGAACATTTTCTTTTTTTGTTTGGGATGCTAACATGTTTAGATAATTAGTGAAAAAATAGACATACTCAATAAATTTGGATATTCATTATAAATCAGTGTTATAATTGACTAAATAAGTGACTTTTCAATATTAAAACTAAAAGAAAAGTCATTTTAAAACGAGATATCAACATCTTTTTTTAGTAACCTGTTCTTTTTAGATGTCATGGAGTAGAAGCGGCACCGTTAAAATCTTTTCTTACATTCTATATTGTAAAATAAAGCTAAAAAATAAAATCTTTCACGTAGGTAAAAAATAAGACTTCATGTGTTAATGTTTGCTAAATACACATTTATGTTAATGTTATCTCGAATTTGTTTTCACCATTGTAATTAAAGATATTTTCAATTGGAATCAATTTTTTGATTTGATCTATGAAAGAGTAAAAGTTTTTTTTAAATTAGTGTATATATTAAATATTTTTAAATTTAGTGTATATATTAAATATTAACATAAATCTTGATATATTTTGATATTAAAAATAGGCATTAACCAATTTTTTTTGTTTAGATATAGATGGTTGAGAAGACGAAATTCATTTAGGCACAACAGAGAGTTAATAAAAAATGGCTCTTTTAGTTAAAATCGACTAACTAAGTGACTTTCTGTTAGTTATAATTACTCATACATATGTGAGGTGTGCGGGTGCACATATATATAGTAAAATTAAAACAAAATTGTTTTATCCCATGCACGGCACGGGTAAAGATACTAGTTTTATAAATATTTGCTTGCATATCCATCCCACAGATGACAGATGCCACCTAATCTAATATTAAATCACAGAAGAAACTTACGCAGCACTATTTGGAGCAAAACTGAAAATAATCAAGTACCCCCACATTTCTGAAAATTTTAATCGGTGAAAAAACCATTCCAAAACGATAAGGCATATTCCTTTTGAAACTGAACAGGACATACATGCAACAAAACACTTCAAAAGTATGTAAATCAAATTACCGTAGACGACAAGTGCGGATATAGTATGCTTAAGAAATTGATCTAAACGTTACAAATTTGAATTTGCAACAAACTTCCAGTATATGAGTATATCACATCAAAATTGCTATTTCATGCCAAACATGTAAATAAAATATGGATCTGGTCATCCAAAATACTTTTCAAAGGAAAAAAAACGTATGTACCATGCATGTATAATATCAAAGAATGGCACAACATTTAATTCTCAAAAAATTCTCCGTGCATTTCCGAATGCTAGTAAAACCGTACCACACAACATGCATGCACCATAATACTCATACATTACAATTACAAGTAAACCATAATGATACAACACATATTACAAAATTTGACATCGAAGGACTCAAAATATACCGTACATTATTAATATATTAAAAAATTGCTACCATATGTAAATGAATGAATAAAATTCTATCACAGGCCATTAAAAATCTGATTTTATTCAAACTAAAATTCATACGTGGTAATATCATAAAGATGCTTACAACACTTATTTAGCAAATAAAATAGAAAACAAATGTAGCTCACGACTTATTTATCAATAACTAGAAAACAAATTACTTCAACACTCCTGACACATTCAACATGAAAAGCCCTTGATTACAATAACCTCTTCCAATAAATATATTATTCTTAGTGAGAACCACCTTGTCGGATTCAAAGGATGCCTTGACACCGGCTCTTCCCAAGAGTGAAACAGAGATTAAATTCGTCCGTATCTCGGGCACATGAAGTACGTCGGTGAGTGATAATGTCTTGCCGGATGTGAGTTTGATATTAACTTTGCCCTTTCCGTGCACCTGGGTAGTTCTAGAATCCCCAAGATGTATGTACTCCTCTTCATCCCCTATTGGTGTATAGGAGGAAAACACACTTTTGTCTTGGCAAATATGCCTAGTAGCTCTCGAGTCTACAACCCACTCCTTCACATCCACCACCAGACACGTTTGTGAGACAACCACCGTTATAATTTCATCACCCTCAACCAAGTTTGCACTTGGTTTGGGTGGTTTTTTGTTGTTCACAAACGCCCTTTTTCGACACTTACTAGCAATGTGCCCCGGTTTCCCACAAACATAACATTCACCCTTTCTTTTAAAATTTGTGGTTTGTTTATATTTATTGTAGTTGGGCTTATTATTAGAATGATTATTTTCATACCTCCCTTTGTCCTCCGTCTCCACCAAGTTTGCATTTGATGTATATTCCTTTGCTTGACTCTTGACATTTTCCTTCCGGTTTGTGTCTTCAATGATGATGTGGGTAATCACATCATTGAAAGACATAAGCCCAAAGTCGTGTTTGAGGTCTCGTCTATAGTCCCTCCAGGACTCCGGCAGCGAATGGCTCCGACAGTTCTATCTGGACGCTCTTAAGATCCTCCAACAACGTCTGGTACTCGTGAATTTGCGCCTTGATGTCTCTGTCCTCCTTCATTTCCCACCTGTAATAGTTTCCTATTACAAATTTCTGCTTGACGGTGTCCTCAACCGTGTACTTGGCTATCATAGAACTCCAAATTTCCTTCGCTTCCTTTTTCGTACAATAAACATCAAACAATTCATTAGATAAAGTGCTAAGAATTGTATGACGGCAAACCTTGTTTGCGTGGGTCCACTGTTGAAGGAGCTTGATGCCTTCGGGTGAGTTGTCTTTGGCCGGCATGGACTGGGTAAGAACGTCGGCAACGCCATGCACGTCGAGCGTTGAGAATAGACGTTCTTGCCATCTCTTGAAATTGGCCCCTGAAAATACTTCTATTTTAGAAATATCGGGAAAAGGTTTTGCATGGATAGGCTGGACCTCAAATTGCATGTTAACATGCGAGTCAGAATTGTTTGTAGCTCCTTTTCCGTTGGGGGTGTCCGGAACCGAGATTATTTGAGTAGGTGTATCCGACGCCATAGTGCTACTTTCTTTAGATTGTTGGAGATATATTCGTCGTCGGAACCTGCAAAATAATGTTAGAAAAATAAAACAGTCCGAGACGCGTTAGACGCTGTCCTAAAGAAAGTATTTCCGGTGACTGGAAATCTTCCCCCAAGATATAACGGGCTCTTCGGCTGATTCGCCGGACCCAGAACTACGAGGAAGAAAAGAAATTTTCTTTTGTGCGTAACCCAGCAGTTCTTTAATTTAAGCAGTATACTAGTTGAGCTTCGTAAAGTGTATGTGCATGTATCTGTCTACCCCTTACGAAAGATATACAAGTATATATTTATAGACGTGCGCCCAAGTTTTAAAATAGAGCAAAAATATTAGTTGGAGTTGAGCGATGACCCACGAGCGTAGGAGATATACGCGGACGTCCATGCAAACGATCCACGTTCTCCAGCTTATTCGGTCAAACTCCGATGCATTCAAAATTCATCCGGAAGAAAGCTTCAAAATATTATCTGGACTGATTATAGCAGAAGTTACATAATATAATCACTCTACATAATTGCAATACTTTGGGAGAGTCATTTTGCCGCTCAAAGTTCTAGGACCATTTATAGCCGCACGATCCACACTTCATAGATCTGCGGCGCTTCCTCACTCCGTTCCATTTCTTTTAGCATCCTCATCGTAGCTTTCTTCTTTCTTTCCTTCATCGAAAAAAATTCATTCATCTATTCCAAATCTCACTTCACTCCTGGCTACGATTCATCTTTCACTCCTCGCCGCTCGCTCTCACTGGGAACCATCTCAACCAAGTTCCATCGCGATTACAGAGTAAATTCCATCGCAGGTATTTTCATCCTCTTTCCGATTTCAATCTCCAACTATTATTTCCATTATTCCGATTGCATTTTAGGGTTTTCGAGAACTGACCAGAGGGACGTCTTACATCAAATTTGGGTTCTATATTGCCCAATTGTAGAAATTTCGCTAACTTTTAATGAAAAGCATTAACGATTTCAAGAACTATAGATTCTCTACGATTATAGATTTGATAAATCTAAGTGTGATTTACAGATTCGTAACCATATATGAACTATTCCCATAGAAGTTATTATTAGCAAACAGTGCCAGTCAATGTGATATTAGTTGTTGTGAAATTATATAGGTCACCTCGATCTACAGATCCTTCATTTAAAGAGGTTTAACATGTACTATCAACTCAAAGTTTGCTTCCAATTGTCTCCAAGTTTAATCACATATAAACCTTGAATTAGGTTGCTATGCAATCAAGCCTCAAAATGATTAGTGGTGACTTTTCCTTCTCATGAAGTCCTCAAGAAGATCCAAAGTTTGATTTTCTTTCCAAAGTCTCAAATTGCCTTAGTCGTTAACGTTTTTTATGGTGTGTTATGTTAACTTTTTGTGTGTGTGTTAAATAGGTGCTTGATCTGTTCTATTCATTTAAGTTTTAAAATCCAGATTTTGATTCCTGTTTTAGTTTACTTTGAATTTATTAATCTAAGGGTCTTAATTTTCATTTAAGCACTCTTCTCTTTCTGTCTTTGGTGGTTGATTTGTGTGGGAACTATTTTTTTTCTTTTTTTTATATGGCCATTTAAGGGTTGTTCGGTTCCCATCATCGCTGAAAGGTCTTCATTTTTTCTGCTCATCAAGACCTCATCTTCTTCTACTTCTCCCATCGGAATCTGTTCGAGTTGAAAAACACAGAATCAACTTCTCCATTTCGATTTTAAAAAACAGGTTATGATTCCCATTTTAGTTTTCTTAGAATTTATTAATCTCAGTTCTTTGAATTTAGCAGACCCAAAGTTTGATTTTCTATCTAAAGTTTCAAATTGTGTTATGTTAACTTTTTTAAGGTGTGTTATGCTAACTTTTTTTGCTAAGTAATTACTTAGTGCCTAAGAAAAAGAGTTTAAGTTCTTTGATCTTCTGCATTTCTTCTTTCTGTTTTCTAAATGAGAAATAGAAAAGTGGTTCTTTGTTGCATATAGAAAACAGTTTTAATGTAGTTCCTCTTCTTGCATTTCATATTGTTTGTTGCTATACGTAGCTCAGAACTACTTTATAAGCTTTTAAAAGATCATAATGAATAACCATAGCTATCCTTTCAAAAAAAACATAACTGGGATTCTGGGAAGTAATTTCAATTTTTGTGTGTTAAATATGTGTTTGATCTGTTTCTATTCATTTTTATCGAGTAAAGTGGTGAAGTTAAAACTAACTTACTCATCTTAGTTTTATAAGATAGTAGATGAACTATTGAGGATTTAAAATTGTACAATTCCAACATTGCTCCATTCTAATCAAACTTCGATCAGGTTTAAAAAACATATGATTAAAATGATAATATGTATATGATAGCTTTGAGGCATTATATACTTGATATGGTGGTCTTTGTGTTTTGATGGACATATCAACATTTTAATTTTGGTTTTGACGGACATATCTTATATCAACAAAACCGATCTTGGTACTCGATTTGTTATTGATTATCATATATAGGTCTAGAACATTTTAATTTGTAAACGTTGACACTCCTCAAAAAGCTCGGCATCCTTTTCCAGGAACCTTTTTTTGGACATTGGAGGTCAGCCCATGGACTACTTGGTTCCACTGAGACTTCATATTTCTCTCTAATGTTTGAAAGATGATAGGTAAAGTAGCATGTCATTTCATTTCAATCAGTTCTACTATACGCTTATATTTCCATAAGAATAAAGCCCTCTCTGCAACATGTCATTATTCCGATGCTTTTAGTATCCTTTTGGAACTCAAATGCGAGGGGAAGAAATTAAGGAAAATATAGAGAAAATTAAGAAGCAGAAGAAAGGCGCTGGGTGGAGAGATGAATTAGCTGCTTAGAACCCCCAACAGATGAATTTTAACTGTAATGAGGTAGCAGCACACATCAGAAACCTCAAATGTACTCGTGGTATTTAAAGGTCACTCATTCGATTCACTCTTTATCCAATCACAGTTAGTTTCATATTTACATATTGGATGTTGCCTATCAGAATTAGGTTCATGCCTCTTTGTACTCAGACATTGCCTCCTTCCACTCTCTTTGAAATACTTACTTTTAAGATTTTCAGTGTCAATTTTTTAGGAGTTATTGTAATCTCAATGCAGAATTTGCTATTGGACACATTTTGATGTTCAGGGAGGAAGATGCATTCTTAACTATCGGTGCTATTGGTGAGTTAAATATATCAACTGGGTAGAGACTTTTAACCAGCATGTCATTTAACCAACATTTTACCAAATTTTATTTGAATATCAGTAATGTGTTATCATTTTTTTATTTGGAATTGTTAGTATCTATTTGTAGTTTTAGTTCTTTATTATCATATTTGTTAAAATAAATTTGGTAATACTTATGTGATTTTGTAACAACCCTTCTTTTTATCTGAGTTTGTCAATTAAATTCAATAAAGTTTATTTTGACATTATAATAGTTCATGTAAACATTCCCTGCTCCTTTAGAATCACGTGTTTTTGTATTTTCCTGATGACTGAATTATGTGTTAATTATTTACTCCATATTTAACTTTACTTAACCAGTATTTTATCAAGATTTATTGGATAAAAGCTTAAAATAAAATATGCTATTTTAGAAGAATGTTAAGTGTACCACTACTTCAAAAGAAACTAAAAAAACATTATGTAAACAAAATACATTATAATTACAGAACATTAATTATAAAACAGTCACTGGATATGTGTTATTTATAATTCTAATCTTATTTTATGCTCAATTTGTCAATAAAGTTGATGATTTTATAGAATTTTATGTTTAATATGACTTTATATGTGTAAAAGTTGATGACTTTAATTTTAGTACAAGTGTGGTAAACGTTTGAGTTATGTGTTTTTGTGCAATCTTAACCAAAATTTAGTATGGTGTCTTGGTACTTCATTATAAAAGAAGACGACTTTATAGAAATTACAAGATTGATTGAGAGGCATATCCAATAGGGTCTTCATCTGAAAGTTATTCCTCAGTTGATTAGGCTCTACTAATGTGCTTTTCATAAAAACAACAACCTGGTGCACTAAATTTGAATGTTTTTGTGTATACTTTTTACCAACCACCTTCGTTGGAGTAGGAGTTATTGTTTCACCAATTAATTAAATTAAATGAACTGAAGTTTTAAAGAAAAACCATCAGGAGCACCCATTTGAGCTTCTGTTGGTCATCACTCTTTGGGAGTAATGGTTCGTAATACCACTTTCTGCTGATTTTGTGTTTATCGATGCATTTAGGGATCGGAAGACTAAATTTACACCCATATCATTGGAACAAGATGCTCAGGGAGTTGTACCGAGTGAAACTTATCAGCCGTTCAGATTCCAAAGCAAGGAGCTACGATGAACAGATCAATTGGTTCAAACCTGAAACTTACCTACCCCGGCCACCGCCACTCTTCAAACTTTTACTAGCCCCTTTCTGTGGTCATGTTTATTCATGTTGGCTTTTTGTTCCTATTATGAGTGTCGTGACTCTAAGGCCCTCTGGAATAACAATGCTTCAAGGAATTCTATCTATAAGAGTGAGCACGTGTTTTGTCAAGTGCCTTTGTACCATATCTTTTGGGGATATTTTAGTGAAACTTTTATATTTCTTGAAATTAATCTTAATACAAAATATTGTTGTTACTATATTATAGCTTGGTAATTAAATAAGGAAAAATAATTAAATTCATTAGTTTTATATTTTTTTTAGCCATTCATTAGTATATTTGATAATTAAATAAGGAAAAGTATAATCGCAGAACAGGAGGGATAGAAGGGGGGTGTTTGGAGAATTGGAGATCTACTTTTTAAACTTGCTTCTTCTCATCATGGAGTATAAGTAGCTAGATATTAGAGTGTTTTGGTGAAACTGTGAAAGTATGAAAATATTTTTAACCCCTGTATGATTGGGGGATTTTGGAGGGGAGGGAAGGGGAGGATTAATTTTTATTTAATTAATTTATCTGAATTTGTTAATTTTTGACTACAAATAAATATATAATTAGTTAAACCATGTATTTTTTATATACTATTGTGTCCTCATTTTATTTCAATTTGTCTAAATGTAAAAATTAGTTTAAAATTTAAACAAGAACCCTTCCCTCCCCTCCAAAATCTTCCAACCATACTGGCCCTAAGTGTTCTAAATTGATCTTAGAAGCACTATTTGAAAAATCAACTTTAATTCTACTTAGAGTATTGAATGTTTCGTTCTTCGTAGATGAGAATGTTTAATGAATATGTAGTGGAGTACATTTTTACTTCGTGAACCGTAACCACATAGTGTGATAAAAAGTACTCCATATTTGTATTGAAAGTGAAATTAGTAACGACTATTGTTCATTAGTGGTGGGCACGATTCCGATCCTAGGCATGACTAAAACCTTTCAAATTTTTAATCAAAATCGTATTAGGGATCATAATCAATCGGTTTAGTTGAGGATCTTGCTCCTTGGTGACCGAAATTAGCGATCGAGATTGATCGGTTTAGTCTCAGTTTGGTCCCATTTTTTTCCCATAATTTTCATTGGGAAGCAGGTGAAAAGAGGTGCATTGAAAACCTGAAGAAGGGGCTGGAGTTAAAAATGTACACAAAAATTAAACCGAGACTCGCTCGGAGCTAGAATTATAGCTTCTGGTCTCATGCTCCTTTCTATATATAAATGGAAGATCGACAATCCCAGTGACCAGAACCGACACAAAAAAAAACTCATCCATCCCAAATGTTGATTTAACAAGGGTAGAAACAAGATCAATTGGGCAAATCATAAAGATAGGCGTTATGGTGATTGGGTTAGGGGTTTAAGATCCTACTTTATAACAGAGGGGTCGATCATAATTTTAACCATTATATGTTTTCGTGAGCTAAGACGCGAATTTAAACCGAGAATAGGTGTACGTATTTATGTGTAACTGTAATAATCAACCTCCCTCAAAGTTAAACCGAAGAGATCATTAACAAGAGTTGAAGATGATCTTTAGAAGAGGGTATTTTTTATGCCATTCTACTTTTTACTCCTGAAAAAATTGTATGTCCTCTTAACAATAAGGTTCCATTTGGACTCAGTTTTACCAAAACTGAATTTCATGAAGATTAATACATTTTCGAAATTGTTTACAAAATACTACGTAGTTCACAATATTTTTTAATATTTAATAAATCCATCTTTCACTAACATTTGGACAAACATAAAACTTTAAGCTACACACATATCAGTAATTACAAATCTCATCCCGTGCAACGCACGGGTGAAATTCTAGTAATAATATAAAAGGCAAATCATTTAGAAGCAAGCCACGTTCCATCAAATCATTTATTAATTTACCACATTAAAATGATCAATTCTTCATGTATTATGAGTATAAAACATTTTAAACCAAACGGTGTGGACTGGTCAAAACTACCAACTTATCAATTTGAAATACGTAGCATTAAATAATAACTTTTTATTTGAAATAATAAATAATTTCCCAACAATCATTCCTCTATATATATATAGAGTGCTCTTCTCATCAGGCCGGCCTGACGGGATGCTCCGTCCGGCCGAGCCCGTTTGGGAACCTTCCCGGTGGAATTTTTTGATGAAATTTTTTGAGCATGTTCCTTATCAAGTCTAGTTTGTCCATACCAAATTTCAGCTCAAAATTCAATCGGGAAGGCATTCAAATCATTTTTTGAAGTTGACTGCAGTTTTCTATGTATATTTTGACGCAGTCAACTTCAAAAAATGATTTGAATGCCTTCCCGATTGAATTTTGAGCTGAAATTTGGTATGGACAAACTAGACTTGATAAGGAACATGCTCAAAAAATTTCATCAAAAAATTCCACCGGGAAGGTTCCCAAACGGGCTCGGCCGGACGGAGCATCCCGTCAGGCCGGCCTGACATGAAGAGCACTCTCTCTCTCTCTCTCTATATATATATATATATATATATATATATATATATATATATATATATATATATATATATATATATTTTGATGGAACGAGTCAAAATAAATATGATCAAATCGTTAAAAGCAGAAGAAGACAAATCGGCCCATCAATGTTGACCATTTTTACTTTTGGTTTTTGACCTTTGATCATTGCAATGCCTAGTTTTGGTCTATCTAGTTGTGATATTTTGTACCTTTTGACCTTTTGTCCGATGGGGATGGCCTTTGTTTTCAAGGTTGTGTGTTGTGTAAATTCTTTTTCTTTTGTCACATGCGGAAACATAATTAAGGGTACTTAAACGTGACAACTTCATTAATAAAGAAGGGAAAATCATACTTTTAGTTCTAGAAATAGTCATCATGTTGAAATGTCATCATGTGTTTCTTACTTTCTAAATGTCACCCCTCAATTATCCAAATTGTTGTAAATGTGACCCTTTGATGGATGAAATGTACAATGTAGACGAGAAGTACATTTTACGCTACAAAAGACCCCATTTACAGCAATTTGAAAAATTGAGTGGTGACAATTATAATCTCAGAAATACAGGTCTGACATTTTAATATGGTTACTATTTCAGAGACTAAAAATGCGATTTTCCCAATAAAGAATGGTCCTAAATATGAATAAAAGCAATGTGCACTTTCAATATCAGAATATTATTTTTTAATTTGTTAAATAGAAATAGTTGTTGTTATGCTTCGAAAATACCGTTAATTATTTCATTAAATTTCACATCATTTTAACTCATTCTTCTGGAATTTTCTCCTTTCTTTTATTGGCGCATTAGGGTCCCTCTTACGGTATTGCGCTTCATAACTTTGCTATTCTCATATGAAACAAAGTCATCAACTATCTCTCTCAATCAGACATCTATCGATATATAAAAAGAAGTAAAATTTCAAGCAACTTTCCCGCTCAAAAAAGTCACATCAAATACAAGTAAAGGTGGGCCAAACCATATAGAGATATCCGTAGGTTAAAACCATGTATGTGTCCACACATTAACCTGTTAAAAGGGCAATTCACTCTCTGCCCAATGCTCTGTCCTTGAGCCTGGTGCACTAAGGGAGTCTATAGTCGTCTATCCGTAGGTTAAAGACAGGGGCGGCCTTAGGGGGTGCAACAGGGGCGACCGCCCTAGGCCCAAGAAAATAGGGGGGGGGGAATAGGTCCAAACATATTTCTTTATATGTAGTGTGACTAGGCTCCTTTTTTTAATTTTTAAACTCAATGAATTGGCACAAGGTTTAATTGTTAAAATAAATGTAAAGTGACATGTTTCTCTTAATTCTCTTCAGATCTCTAAGTTTTATAATCTTTTAAATTATCAATAAAAAATTCTTTTAATTACAAAATTATCAAGTTACGTTAGGCCTCAAAGTCCAAAACTCCCAATTTGCAAAGCTTATCCAAATTGATTTGTTGTTTCCAAATTCCAATATCAACAAGAGTAAAGAACGCTGCAAAGCGGTAAGTGTCTCAGCGGTTTGTTAAGAATTAAAGTCAATCAATCGAGGAACCCAAACAACGGTCGGTGATTAAAAAACTTCTTCTTTCTAGGCTTCAAACAATCCATCTGTGATCAATAAATTGTTCTTGATAAAATTGGTGAATCAGGATGGGATAAAGAGTGAAAGAGAAGAAGATTAGAAAAGACATGGTTAAATTAGCAGGGGTCAATGGAAAATTTTGTTTTTGTTAAGAAATTGAATCTTGAAAATTCTGTGAGAAATGTTTTTAAGTAATGTTTTTCTTTTTATGTGATACTTGTGTTGTCACTTTAAACCAAATATGTAATTTAATTAATAATAATAAAATAATTTCCATTTTTATTTAATGACCCTTATTAAATAATTTTATTATAATTATTATTTTAAATAAATACAATTTATTATTTGTCTTGAATATAAGCCCAAAATAATCCTGCCCATAGGCCCAAAAATAGACAGGACCGGCCCTGGTTAAAGAGTATCAAACAAGCTTTGTCATCCACTTCGTGCGTCAAGTATTTTGGCCCGTTCTATGGGAAGGTTGCCCACAGAAAAACAAGTTCCCAAGCGACTATGGATGGGATACCGCAGGTCTCCCACAGACCCGAAAATATTTGTGAGGAACTGAGAGCTGGAGGTGATCTACAGCAGGTTGGCGACGCTGGGCTGCATCCTGGAGCTGTTGGCCGAGAATGGGATGAAGTTTGATCAGGCGGTAGGGTTCAAGGTTGGGGCTCATATCTTCAGCGAAGGTGGTCTGAATTACTTGGGAAACCAGATCTTCGTCGGAGGCCTGCTCGGAGAGTTGACCGACTCGATCTACTTCGGTGGAAGCTTCTGTTTGAAATCTGTATTCAAGGTATATGTGTTTTTCATCCAAAAATTAAAAGAAACCGTTGTATGAAGATGCAAGACTGGAAGCTTCACGTCTCTCTTGCACGACAACTTTTTCATCTGTGTTTCCAGACTAGATCTTGCTATCTCTCCTTGGGTTATACCGAAGTATAAATTTCTTTGAATTTTAGAGGCAAGGGTGAATATGTTTTTTTGCGCATTTCAGATCGATAAACGAAGGTATCAAGAACGAATATCCAGTTCATTGAAAACAATGTGTGTGGGTTGTATTACACCCCAAATGCATACTTAAGTTGATGAATATCTTGCTACGTGTATGGTTATTTTAATTAAGGATTATTAGCTTATTTTATCCCAAATTATCATCAAATTCACAAATATATCCTATTCTTTCATTTTTAT